TCCTTTGCTGGAACAACCGGGGACTGTAGAAGGGTTCCACCAAGTCTCGCAGCTCGCTGGAGGCTCGGTGGTTTCGCCTGTCGTCGAAACTGTTTCTGCTGGACACGGTGCTGGGCCAGGTGAGTCTTTTTGGTGGATGTACTACCCGTAGACAATGTTGTCGACTTGCTCCAACGAAACGAGACCCGAAACGATCGATCTTTATCACACGACGAAGGCTGTTGCCAAGTGGAAAGAGGAGGACACGATACGATACTTGACTAAACCTGATCCGAAGACGAGTGCGATTACCGTCAGTGCGAGGTTTAATTTGGAGGCGGCTTTTTTCGAGCTAGGTGTGCCAGTCAAGCTCAAGGGGCTGGAGGCTCTTACAATTGTCTATCTACGAATATGCGCATCAACTATTATTTCTCTCCATCTTGTCAGGAACCCGACCGTGCCCAACGCAGTCGGGGAAGTCTTTCAGTCCACCGTGCTTTCCCTCGACTTTACTTTGAACAGTCCACCCTCCATCATCGCCCAAGTCGGCATCCCTGAACCACTATGTCCAGCGAGGAAACTCTCTGGAGCAGTCGTCGACGCGATCCGTGATCTTTCCAACGCTACCACCCTCTCCATTTGCATCGAAGCACGTGATGCACCTCCCCAGCTGCAAAATGTCAGCGACGCAGTCAGTCACGGCAAATTTGAGTCGTTCCGCAGCACCCAATATGATATCGCGAGTTTGTACGGTGGTCTTGGAGGTAAAGTCATCACTCCCTCCGAACCAGCGCCCCCGACATACGACGAAGCCGCATCCTCTCCACCACCTCCTCCCCCGATCGAGCCGAGCAGAAAACGTCCCCGACAAGACTCCTCCACCGACACGAAACAAGACGACATCACCCTTTTGTGGGCCGAAATCCGTGCCATGAAAGAATCCCGCCGCCAGGTCGAAGCAGAGAACTCAACATTGAAGCAGCAAAACACGGAACTCGTCACCAGCATGGAAACCATGAGACAGCAGAATAAGGAGCTGATAGACAGCATGGCGAAGCTCCAAGAGCAATACGACGCCCTGGAGAGTCGCCATGCAGCTGTTGAGGCCAAGGCTGAGGCTTTTGAGGATACGTACGATGTTGCGTTGGTGGATCTGCGTGAGGAGATGAGATGCCTTGATGGGGTTGTCAAGTATTTGCAGGACGGACAGGTGGGGGAGGAGGCGATGGGGGTTATAAAGAGCGCAGTTGTCGACGAGATAATGAAACGGTTGGCGAATGGATGAGCTGTTGCTGTTGAGTCCGAAAACATTCACCGTGCCGTGAACTTGAGGGCTTGGCTGAGGGTCTTCGTCGAATGATATGGCGATTGAGCATCGCTGTTGACACAAACCCCCCATACCCTCCAAGTACGTGGCAACTCCTTGTTCTTGTCGCTTCAATCGTCGCCGATAATCCCAAGATAGCGACTTGCTGCTTCATCCCCAGCGTCCATGCAGTCGCTCGCCCCGACTGTCATCGCCCCAACACTTGACTCATCGTCATACCCACCATCGATGATTAATTGGCGCTATGACATCGACCTTTTAGAGCCGTCGCTCGCCCTCGCGGCGAACACTGACTTCGACTGGAACGATGGACATGACTTGGAGATTGAACATTGAATGAGTTGCCATCGGACCGGCTGGCTGAGTATGTTGCCTTACCTCACCGTGCTTCTTGGAGGTCATTTTTATTGACATTTTCTCAACAGTGCGATTGTTGACAGATGGTCTCCATATCATGGCCTCTACCTCCCCGACGCCATTCTTCCAAGCTCAATCATCGCCATCGTCTCGAGACTACGCGCGACAACATCCTCTACCACCGTTCCTCCGCCGCCTCACCAACTTGTGGACTCGCTCGCCATCTTTTTGCTGTTTATCACAGCACAGATCGTCCATGGGAGACCGTCCCTTTGAGCGAGCTGCCCTGTACCACTCGGCTCTCTTTCGACACCCTACTCGGCGCATTGCTGGTCCATCGCTTGTCACTATCAGTTGTAGCCAATTGGGTGATTGAGTCGGCTCTGAGACGAACAAGCATGCCCCAGCCTTTCTTCCTTGCTGTGCTGAGACGATCGAGTTACTTGTCCATTGGATAAGCTATTTCGGGAATACCGATGATGGCATAATTCAATCTACTTGCTATACCCTTGTATCTGGCCCCTTCATTCCTGTCTCTCAAGTACCGCTTATCGCATGTAGGTACAATTGGCAACCTGATAGGACGAGCATTTTATTTTGACAGCCTAAGC